CTCTTGCGCATATCGATCATTCCTTCGACGTATGCCAATGAAGTTGGGCGACCTTACCTGTCTTTTTCTTCTGTGGTCTTGTCCGGGTCGGAGTACGAAAAGTTGGCCGCTTTCAACGCGCCCTGTCGCCCCCGCTCGTGCTCTTCCTCAACAATGACCTGCAGCAAATATGGTTCCAGCTCTTTGAATGGTTCCAAGAGTATTTCGTATACAACGAAAAAGTCACAAGCTTTTGTATGCAAAGAGCCATCACTGCAGTCGACAATCGACTGGGCAAGCACAAGTTTCTCATATAGATCTAGATCAATATTGAGATTTCCGATAGAGAAAACATTCCTAAGTCGACAACATCTTTACGAAAGTGCTGTACGTACGGTGGTCACCATGTTTGGGCAAGTTTCGACAAGCAAACGGAGCTACTGGAAGCTGTTTTCGTGATCCGACAATATGTGCAGGGAGGACACTGAATCAGACCGAGAAGGCGGTAACAGTCCATCGTGAGCATCGTAAAAAAAGGCAGCAAATCATTGGCCAGCGATCTGATCCTCACAGCCCGGCTCTTTCGAACCAGCTTCGAACGGCATCTAAGTTTTCCTTGGAGATGGCACACACACACGCTGGTTCACAGCGCTAACGGACAAAAGTCTTTCAGCCCCATTCGATATCTGTGTAATGCCAAAAGGGAAGGGGACGAAGTGACATGATTTCTTCATCTCCGACACTTTAGTTGTGGTGTCGGGGGTCTACACGCATCTCGGTCAATCAGGGAGCTCTAAATTGCTCACCAATTAAGACAGAATGTCCCAACGCGATACGTGCTCAACCTTCGCAGTACTAAATAAAGTAGACTAACACCCCCTAGGCTCCAGCAACAAAAGATGCAGATTTGAACACAATCTAAGTTGTGGGGTGAGGTTACCGTGATGAAGCGTGTTGTGGCAATGGGGTGCGATCGTATGTATGTAAGTCGTTGCTCTCTAGGCTTTTTCATCGCACCCCAGTACCATGACACTGATGGGTACCAAAACACCAATACTGCAAATAAATCAGTGCCGATACTGCAACTAAATCGTTTCGTTCTATTTTTCCAACGTAACCCCGGTGCGATGACACCGATGGGTGGGACATGGAATAACACAAAGTGGCCCTTCTACGGTGCTGAGTGCAGGCACCCCGGTGCTATGATACTGATAGATGCGATACTGAAGTAACCAACACAGGCGCTTCCCGGTGCAGGATCCATATGCCGCAGCACACACGCAACCTTGGTAACACACTCACCTGTGTGTGCGAATACCATAGTTTGTCTACCTCAAGGGGCTCGGTAGTACCATTTACGAGTTCCTCTTGTGTTCGGTCGGTTGGAGGTTCGGGATGTGTGCCGTGTGCTTGCTTGGTTGAGCATTTGATGTTCCGATTACCGTAGGTACAAAAAAAAATGACCCATGTGGACACGTACACGTCGACAGAACGATATACATGAAAGGATGGGTGCCCCTATTGATACCTACCGTAACATCGTCCAGTTCAAAACGTGGCTTCGGAGGGTACCGGCACCTTGCGGAAGCACGTAACATTAGATCCTAAGCAGTTACCACATCATTGATATTGCCTTCCCAAAACTGAAATTTCAAAAATACTCAAAACCAAAAACACAACCCTATCTATCGCACCGGGTGCGATAACACCGATAGCGGTGTGGAAGTGCAATTAAATCATGCCGTTCTTGTTTTTTGGCGCACCCTACTTATTCGTGGTGTTGCTTTCTTGCGAACTTCGGTGCCATAACCCCTACGTATGCGAAAATCATTTATGGGTGTCATAACACGCACAACTACGGTATTGCCCAAAAGGTGGTAAAAGAACTTGATGCGGCCGTTGGCTGCATCAGACTTTAACTACAGCTTTTGGAGCATGCTATAATCATGTGATGTTTTTCCTCTATTCATTTTACTGTCGAAAGAATTCAACCCTCCCCCAACTTGGCACAAAAAAGACTGTCAGGTGTACGTGCAGCGAGTACAACAAATACTTGGAAAGAATCGTTTCCTAACCCCTGAGCTGGAACCCGGAATGTCAAAGACAGTCCATAGCTACATTGGTCAGGAACGGTTTGCCAGGTGTTGATTCAATTATATCACTCCGAAAACACCCTAGTTTGGTCGATTCTTGCTCAAAAGGTCCCGGGCAATGTAGACAGTTCGCTTGAACGGAGTAGTGAGAGAGAGGTCAGTGCCTTATCGCCTACATTGAGCTTACAACTTTCTCGTCGCTCTTCGGATTTGGACCCTGGGCTAAGAACCAAACTTCCTGAAGCGCTTTACTCTTTGTTATTAGCCTGTATTTGTCCTGATTCCTATATTGTATTATGCTCTGTTTTTTCTTTTTGCCGGGTTCGATCGCCCCCCGGTATGTTTCGCGTGACCTCTGCTATCGCGTCAGGTTGGGGATATTATGAATTTATTATTATTTCATCTATTCCATCTGGTCTCTAGAAGTGTGTGTGCCCTTTTTGGGGTAGTTGGCAGAAGATTTGATGCGTCCATCCAAGCAAGGGAGAAAAAGGGGAAATTTGAAACAAAGAGGGGGACATCGCACCACAGTTTAGGGGGTGTAGGGCTAGCTCGAGGCTGGGGGCATCAAAGAAGCATCGACAAGAGGAGAGAAAAAGCGGCAGGAATTTGGAATTGTGTGGGCGAATGCAAAGGTCTATGTGGATTCGTCACGCACAGGCATCATCTGATATCCACTCCGAATCCAATACAACTTCTAGGGAAGACTAGTTCGTGGAAGAGGGATGCAAGAGGGGCAGGTGGACTAATGTTGTGATACCAAAAGCAAAGAGGCTTGTTTGTTTTTCCTTGCTGTTGGACTCGTAGGGTAGAGGCCTCAACCACAATTTGTTCCTGAGACGACCACCACAGAAAACGTCACGTTCTATGCCTGCCTTGACCGCAGAAGCAGTCAGAAACTACACCACCAAAGCTCCAGGTCAGTACGGCAGTGATACGCGCGGGAAAAGGGGTTGGGACTCACGTTGTGTCTAATCTACAATTAAGTGTGGGCTTCTGTCCATCTGAAATACATATCATCAGGTATCCGTCCTCGCTTACTTCATAAGAGCCTATAACAGTGAAAATACTGCTGTACCGTCATAAACATGCCCACCACCATGGTTTGGCCATCATGGTATGCATATCTATCCTACAGTTCATAAGTTCGAATCACTACCTGCCTTCGCAACGGTTCGGACCTCAATCTTAACTTCGAAGTAAGAAAACAGCAAAGCTGGTTAATGTAGGGTCCACACATGCACACATACATGTAATTACACTACTGTACGTTCATCACCAAACGTGACGACGTCGTTTTGCGAGGTTGCGTTTTTCTTTCTCCTTGATAATGACTTTTCGGGGGCGTCCCACGGCCCAGGGCAGTCAGACGCCACGTACCCCTGCACCTCCCCGTTGTTAATGTTGTTGTTGTTAGTGTTGCTGTTTGTTCTGAGAGCAGTAAATCGTACCGGGTCGCTGCTCAGCAGGCTAGAGAGTGAATACCGGTTCACGGCGCGGGCGCCTTCGTTGGGGGTCACCGGCAAACCACCCGAAAGGAGATGATCTCGGGTCCAGCCGATAAAACTCACCACATAGAAGACCGGGAAAGGGTCTACAGTCAGCTTCACCCCCCGAGGTCTATTCGTTTTACATTGAACACCGACTCTTCCACCCCCCACCACCACGCTGCTGCAGCGAGTGCATTACTTGCTTGGCACTTGTGCCTATTTACGGACTGCTGTCAATCGTTGCTCTGTGATACCTCTCCATGTGTCTCGCTCATTCGACGTACGCATCGAAACTATCATACCGGTCGCCCCGGTGGTCTAGTGGGTAGCCTCGCAGCCTGCTAAGGGCCAGGTCATGGGTTCGAGTCCCGGCAGAGAGAGTTTTTTCTCACTAAATAAATCCTGGTCTAGGATGAAAGCGACGCGCTGCAAAGCTCGTTCGTTAGTAAACCATAATCGACTTCGTAAGTCGCGAGGGAAGGGATTGCTGTACCCTTCTCGCGATAAAAATACCTCAGGCATGAACCGCAGGAGGGGGTCCAACCCCCCCGTCCTATGTGACCCCGGTTGGGTCGTCTAGCTATTAGAAGTGGAGGATAGGGGCCAGAGGGGCAGACGACAGAGTCCAATGATGGAAGAAAAACAAACAAACAAAAACATACCAAACTCGTTTCGTCGATCTCAATGTCGCGACTTCGAACCATGCACCACCCCCTGCCGCGCGGGAAAGCCAACATGTGTATATCTTGGCGTTGACTCTGTGCTCCTGAAATGTCGTTCATTGTTGTTGGCCGTGGCACGAGGAGTGCCAAAACACTGAACCAGTAATGTTTTACCTACAGCTTCGTGCACACGTACCGCTGCCTGCTGCCTGCTGTAAGTTTCCGTCTTGCTCCCGCTCGCACCTGGACAATTCGTTGCAAAAGCGTAGAATGGTTCACGTGTGGCATATCTTCGAGCAGCCCCCTCGTTTCTGCCTCCTGTCTCAGCTCGAACGTTGTCATTGAACCAACTTTGTCCACCGTTAGATGATTTGTCCTCGTGCAGGTGCTAGCCATGCTACTGGTGGTGCTCAGGACACTGTAGCCAGCAGAGTCAAAGGAGCGAAGAGACAAAGAGTGCTGTCGAGTTGTCGAGCTGAGGAGCTGTCCAATGAGAAAGTGGGCAAAAAAAAGGCAAAAAACGCTCATGCTGTTATATACTTCGAAGTATGCCTCCTTTCCGAAACCCTACAAGTAATTGAGGGGAGAACTGATACCGCCTCTTTAGTTCTGCAGGTTCTAGCTTGGACGTGCGTTGCACTTGCGTTCAAGCGTGGCTTGTGTGTGTGCTCTGCCTCAGCAGTTCGTCTCTTGGTTGACTCAAGCTTGTTCTGCTCACAGTTCTGTACGGCGAACTGAGGGTAGGAAGCAAGAGTGATCTGGTGTGCGAGGCCTAACGGAGCCAAGCTTCCGGACGGTCCTACCTCAAAGGTCATCCGTTATACAACGACGCACGTCATCTATGTCATATCTCATCTTGTCTCTCTGATTGGTCCAACTTGGGCCTATGGTGGCACTTGTTATTATCCTCAGCACTTCCTGCTGAGAGCTGACCCTAGGTCGTCACTGTACGCTACAGCTGTCCCGTAATTGTATCTGCTGACCTATCCAGTCGGTCCTGTCGTGTACACGGTCGTCAGTACCCTACACCACCGACGGTCCCGAACAGAAGATAATCAGACAGTTACTCTGAGTCCAAAATAACGCCTCGAGAACTAGACTGAAACCCATTCTCACCACATCAGCCTACCCTGATCATAAGTCAATCTAACAGTACCTGCTCGATCTACTTCCATTTTAAAGCTGCTCCCATCCTGTATGTTTGGACGACAGAATACTACCCGGAATATGTCCGAGTCTTTATTTAGTACGTTACTCAACTGATTCTCCGAACTGTTCCATACAACACACAAGTCACACGAATAAACAAACACCACAGAACAACACATTGCAACATACAACTTCAAACACACAACAATCCATGATACACACAAAAAAAATAAAGCAATTAGACATCAAGGCCATCACCTGATTATGGAAACATCGAGGCGAGGCGTTTACATCCCTATCAAACCATAGTAACCGTTAGGCCAGAAGGGACCATCTCGTTTACTAGTAATTCTTTGTATTTTCCGCTTCGGCTCTTCTGGTCCAGTCAGGAAAAATAATTGATCTTCTTTCTTGTCCTCGTGCCGACGATCTTCAATCCATAGTGTATCGGAAGCTCTTTACGCTGTCTCTCCCTCGTAACCTCGTGTGTACGTGCCAGCACCAAGTTCCAGGCTCTTCGTCGAATGTTTTGGGATTCTCCAGGTTGAGGTGAACATTTTCTTGTCTTGCGAGATCCAAGAACTTGATTGCATGAGGATGTTCCACACTCTCGCCATCCTCCGCCACCATCGTTACCTTAGCAATCTGCCATCCGGAATCACGCGTTTTGTAATAAATGTATGATCCGATTATATCAGTGCCATATAAGGTGGGTCGCTCGCGAGTGTCGCAGCAGACCTTAAANTCCAAGAACTTGATTGTATGAGGATGTTCCACACTCTCGCCATCCTCCGCCACCATCGTTACCTTAGCAATCTGCCATCCGGAATCACGCGTTTTGTAATAAATGTATGATCCGATTATATCAGTGCCATATAAGGTGGGCCGCTCGCCTGTGTCGCAGCAGACCCTAAACCCTTCAGCAACATANCAACATGTCTTCCTCCAGTCAGCCGTGCAGCAGCCCTCTTAGCACACTGTACTCGATACCTCCGGTATTTAGCATTCTCTCCACCGACCAACTCAATCTTGCCGGTCCAATACCGCATTACAAGATTTCCATATTGCATCAATTCCTCTTCATGTTCCCATGTGCAAAGTTTGGTCTCGTCCCAATGAGTAAAATATTGAACAGCAATCTTTCCCGATAATCCTCGCACCAGCCGATGCTTAGATATCTTCCAAGGAATGTTTCAACTGCACATCTGCATCTGTGAGATGGTAGGGTGGTGATAGCTCCGAGTATTTGTTGAGGACGTAGTTTCTCATTGCCCAAGGCAAAAAGTTTGGTTTGTCTGTCTCTGAATGGGGGTTGAAACACTTCTTGACCCTTAACACAGACACTCTGGAGGTGATATCCTTTCCAGGTTCATCTTTCCTCACATCCAGTAAAACCAATTTCGGTCCCACCTTTCGGCCATCTGGAGCAATACCGGGCCCAACGAATAATACTTTATATGGCCCCGTCCAGCAATAAGCCAGTTTAGCCAACAAAGCAAAGGACTTTCGGTCTCCCGATTTAAGATTTTGGGGCTTTAGAACATGTTTTCCACCTCCGGTAACAACACTTTGTTCATTGTACAGCCACACCCAATCTCCTTCTTCAATTTTTGGCCTTCGATTCCCTATTTT